AGGGAAAATCCAAAGGTTTTAGATCTGGCAGCATAAAATCCCAGACACCTGAGTGGAAATTTTTGAATTGGAAGCCTTTCTCAGTAATAACATTGAAAGCAGGAAGTCTTATTTTTATATGTCCAGCACTTCACATGCATCTTGAAATATGGTAAGAATTCCAGAAATTCTTGAGCAATGCAAGGCTTTGAGGCCTCAGCCTGTGAGGCCTCAGGCTGATAAGTATTGAAAATGTCAGCACTGTAGTCTGTGTAGACAAAAATATACTGTCTGGATCCAGTGATGGGTGAGACAGGTAATGTGCTGTTTAGAGGACTCCTAGGATACAATGTGGAGCCCCCTTTGGCTGTCACATTTACACAGGGATCTTAACAGAAGAATGTAGGCAGAGAGAGTCAGAGGTCTACACAGCAGGTAGATGACAGCAGCTGACGGAGCTGCGGAGCTCAGCCTGAGCAGAGCAGATGGAGGGGAGAACCTGAGAATCTCCCTCACGTGCCTGAAGTGCTGTGAAGCTAACAGAGTCAGCTTACTCTCTCCTGTCCCAAAAGACACAGCTGGTGACTAGAAATGGCAGTTATTCAGTAGAGCACAGATTTTCTCTTGGTTAGAGCCATATGATCAGGGAAACAACTGCCTTTTCCTTTCCACAGTGGCTGCTGCAGTTCAGCATAGACTGGGTGGGAACAGTTGAAGTGTTGCCTTGGTTCAGCCAGCATCTCTTGAATACTGCTAGCGAGCCAGGATCTGTGCACAGGCTGGTGATGCACAAAGGGAGTAACATCTCTGCCCCAAGGAACGTGTAGTTGAGTTGGTGAGATGGATTCTATTTGATAGTTTATCAAGTATAGTCTTAAGCTGGGGTATATACTTAAATTATATTTCATACTAGTGGAAGTTTCAGAAAATGAAGATAAGGTGATAAATACTGGGTTTGAAAAAGGACACCCACTGCAACATAAGTAACATACATTTTCTCTTTGAGGATAGTTATGTACTGTAGTTTAGCAGCCAAGATGTGAGTCTGAGTAGCTGAACTGCCTAGGTTGATCCTAGCTTTAGGACTTAATAGATGTGTAACTTATCTGTGCTTTAGTTTCCTCATCAGGTAATGGGATGACAGAGGTAACTACTTCATTTAGTTGTTATGAGCTTGAGTCAACATGTATTCTAGTACATAAACCTACACCCAACCCATAGTGAACACTTCCATAGTAATACTTGTTTTCTTTGGAGTGTTGGTCTGTTTTCCTGAATCTTAGTAATATGGTTTAATGCCCCAAATTATTCTTATTAAAGGAACACAAAGACCAAGGATCAAGATATTGGTAAAAAGACCAAAAAAGGAAGAAATCTCTAAGTCAGTGAGAAGGAAATCAGCTTTTTAGGGATTTACGAAGAAGGTATGAATGAATAATTATTTATATTATCTGCAGTCCTGTGGCTTAGTGAGCATGAGAGTTATTCAGGAATGTTTCCCAGGCCCTACGTAACTTCTTCCTTGCACTTCAGCCCAGGTTTTCTATTACTTGCCAGTTGTACAATGTATGATCAAAATAAGCAGGGAATGTTTAAGGTTTTAAAAATTACTATAGTAAAAGGCATACTCCCATTCATTCTTCTCAAAATATGCCCCCTTGCTTTGAGCACACTTACCCCATTGTTTTTGTCTTTTTCTGAAACAGTTCTGGAAGTCTACTTTCATGGATTCTTTATGTATTTGTGATAAAAATACAGTTTCTGCTGCTGCTGTGTGTCATCTACACAGAAGGCAGGCTTGTGAAAACAATACTGTGTGTCCTCATCCACTGTGTTCACTGGAATTAGCATCATATAACTTCTCGCTCTTCCTCAAAATCAGAGTGACCAGGAAAGGTAAATATTTTGAATTGATTCAGGTATCAAGGTGGTCACAATAGTGTAAATAAAGTCACTAACAAAAGAGGACTTCCAAGCTGGATGTGGTGGTGCACACCTGTAATCCCAGCACGTTAGAAGTAAAAGCAAGGCC